GATGTTCTGTCTGCAGTACTTGCTAATAGAGTGCCAGGTGTATAGTAACCACTTGTTAATCATTAGTTACTAACACTGTTGTGCTGAACTCCAACTCCAAGAAGGTTGTCTTTAAAAGCTCTTTTTTTTAGTGCTAGGGATCTGACCCAGGACCTTGCGCATACTAAGCAGGCACTCTACCACTGAGCTACACTTTCAATACCCCAGCCCTTAAAAGCTTTATTTTTGTAGTTTGTAATGGAAAAAACACTATTTTTTTTAGATTTTTATTACAAAATTGTGCTAGTGAGTATGGCTTTTCAAACTACATATAGACATACAGCCCACTGTTGTTGGAGTCTCATTCTAGAGAGACCCCCCCCCAACTGATAACCATTGCCCTGTACCCTTCCCCAAGATCTCTGACCTTCCTCTCATGTGTGGTCTTTCTAGGACAGCATGTAGCTGCAATAGAAGTAGGAGAAACTTTAGGTGAGAGTCTTGTCCCCTGATGTTACTTTTTTTTATAGGTGCACTTGCGTTAAATGCCCCTGCTTCTCGACATCACACTGTGATGTCCTGGAAGAAGAATCCACTATGTCTTTTACTTATATATGAAAATAGGACATGGTTTATGACAGCATTTTCAAAAGTGATGAAATGGAAATTGATTTATTTTAGGTATTAGGTATTTAGGTTTTAGGTATTTTTCAAGTAAGGTCTCAGGTTTTTGCCGGGGCTAGCCTGGACTGGCCTAGACCACCCATCCCCCTATTCATATCTCCCATGTAACGGGGATGGCAGGCGTGCACCACCACACTCAGCTTATTGGTTGAAATGGGATCTCATTAACTTTTTGCCTGGGTGCCTTAAACCATAGTCCTCCTAATCTCCACCTCCTGAGTAGCTGGAATTACAGGTGTAAGAGTAAGCCTTGCACCCATCAGAAACCACCTCTTGTCTGCTCTGACTCAATTTAAATCTTTATATTGAAGGCACTTGTTTTATAGTTTCACTATCATTTTTTCTCCTCATTCTTACTGTCACCCTTTGTCTCTCCTTGTTTTTCCAGAAGGTACACATTCCTCCTTGTTCATTTCTAAGCAGCTGTTGTTGATGGTTCCTGAAGCTGCTCTGGAAAGCAGAAAACCAACACTGAGATCCAGAATTGTAAGAGTTCAAGTGTATAAAGAAAGATGGTTGCTCATTTCAAATGTATGAAGAAAAGCTTTTGAGATGTCTAGGAAATTGGAGGATTTGTCCTACCAGAGACAAGACGTGCTGTAAAGCTGCTGTAGTGAACAGAAAGATAAATAGACCAGTAGTGGAATAGAGTTGGGAACCTAGAATTACATTCACACCGATAGGGAAACTTCATGAGTGTAGACATGGCATTGCAGATCTGGGAGGAAGAGAACAGATTGTTGAGTGCGTGGTGCTGGAAAATCGATTATCTGTGTGGGATGGGAAAAATGAGACCCTTTCTCTTCCTCATCAAGCAGATGGACTGAGGATTTAAATGTAAAGACAAAGCTGTTTTTTTAAAATACAAAAGTGCAAACTAAAAGAAAAACTGATAAAGTCTACATTACTATCACCCTTCTGTTCATCAAGAGCCTAAAGAAAGCAAACCAATGAGCCATAAATGGGATAAGATATTTAGAGCTTATATAATCAATATAGAATTAGTACCCAGAATACTTGGCTTTTCTAAGCTAACCAAGCTTACTACTTCTGTGACAATATCTACAGTTACTGATCAGTAGAATTATTTTGGGACTTCAAACCTTATCCAAATTTGATTGGTCTGCAGGTTTAAAGTGACTGGCTGTGGATGAGCTCTTGGACTGGAGCACTTGCCTAGCATATGCACGTGATCCCTAGACCACAAAACAAAAGCAAAACCATAAGTGAACCATTACAGGAAGTTTTCTGAGTTACTAAGCCTCAGACTCAGTCATCTATCTAAAACTTCCACTTCAACTCAAAACTTGAAGGATAGGGTCACCTCTTTTAGTAAACCCAGAAGAAGATATGCCTTTCTTTGTAATTTCTATATAGTCAATATTTTCTTAACAGTATTTCTATACTATTCAAATATATGTATTTTGTATGCAAATGTAGCAGAAACAATAACATGTAAAGTTATTAGTTATAGCTGCATGTTTGGATTTTAGTTCTTAATATATAATACCATTTGGCTATTCACTTATTTCTTAGAGAGTTCTTACCGAATTTCTGAGCTGACCTCTTTCAGTGCTCATAGCCCTGTAGTAATCATGGTTAACGTTTGTAAAGCCCACTGGACTTTTGTGTAAAAAGTGTGGCAAGCACCACCTTCACAAACTGACAAAGTACAAGAAGGGCAAGAATTCTCTGTATGCCCAGGCAAAGTAGTATTAAGACAGGAGGCAGAATGGCTGTGGTGGGCAGATTAAGTCCATTTTACAGGAAAAAGCTAAAACTACAAAGAAGATTGTACTGAGGCTTGAGTGTGTTGAGCCACTGCAAATGTAAGAGGATGCTGGCTAGTAAGAGATGAAAGCATTTGGGCTGCAGGTGTGGTCAAGTGGCAAGAGGGCTTGCCCAGCAAGCACAAGGCCTGAGTTCAAACTCCAGGACTGCCAAAGAGAGAGAGAGAGAGAGATGGAAGCATTTTGAACTGGGAGGAGATTAGAAGAAAAAGGGGCAGGTGGTCCAGTTCTAAGCTCTGTCTTTTGTTTTGTTATGAGAACAATAAAATCATGAGGTCAGATTCAAGGGGAAAAATGTTCTTATTTTCTGCTTTGAGGAAAAAGACTGAAGCTCTATGCTTTCCACATGCAGTAATTATTTCTAACAACAGTTGATTGATTTTTCTGGTACATTGAAGTGGTGCTTTTCTCCTCCTTTTCTATTGGAACCAAATTGTAGCAAGGACAAAAGATTCGTGTTTCCTTATGGACTTTTTCTTCTAGAAACACAAGTTAAAAGTTTAGAATATTTAACTGGGCACTGGTGGCTCATGTCTACTTAGGAGGCTGACATCAGGAAGATCATAGTTAGGGGCCAGTCGATGAGGGGAGGGGGTTGTCAACTTCATCTCAACGGAATAAAGCTGACCATGGTGATACACTCCTGTCAACCCAGCAACGGTGACAAGAAGTATAAACTAGGAGGATCATAATGTAGGACAGCTCAGGCAAAAAGCGAGACCTATCTCCAAAATAACCATGGCAGAAAGGGCCATGAGGTGTGACCCAAGCACCTGCCCAGAGCCCTGAGTGCACATCCTAGTACCACCAAAAAAAATCAATAGGCTGGTGACCTAGCTCACTGGTAGACTGTGTGCTTAGCATATGTGAGCCTCTCGGTTCAATCCCCAGCACCCAACCACCCCCTCCCCCAAAAAGAAAAAAGCAGAGTAAAAAGAATAGATAAATAAAACACCCTCCACAGTTTCCACAGTTTCAGACCTAATCATGTGTGAAGATACACTGCTCTTGGTGGCCTGGTGCCAATGCATCTGTCAGTTGGTACAGTACCTGCTCTTACAGGGTTTTGCCTCACTGAAGGCAGGAAATAAGGTTTTTTGTTGTCGTATTTTGTTTGTTTTTGCATTGGTCAGCCAGTTTCCTGCTCCCATTTCTGTCTCTCGCCATTTTGGCAACAAAATAATCTGAAGGGGAATTATGGTAATATAAGTGGTTGTGGATATAATGATGTAGAAAGTTACTAGAGAGTTAAAAATCTTCATGGAAATCCGTGCTTCTGATACCTTAGATAAAAACTCTACTTGAAGGTGTTTTTGTAAAATTGCATTGCAGAATAGTCCAAGTAAGCAAATGAACTGTGCATTGTACTTGCATCTGTGTATAGTTTTGACATGCAAATCGTGGAAGTAAATTATTCTACTGGAGCTTTGTTCTTCTGTTAAGCATGGGACCACTGAGCATGGTGGTGCATGCCTGTAATCTCAGCTGCACAGAAGGATGTAGGTAGGAGGATTGCTGTTCAAAGCCAGCCCTCAGCAAAAAGGGAGACCCTATTTGGAAAAATAACCTAAAGCAAAAAGGGCCAGAGATGTGGCTGAAATGGTAGAACCATTAGTAAGACTCTGAGATCAAACCCCTATATCCTCCTCCTCCCCAAAAAAAGCATGGGTCCTGTGCAACCAACAGTACAGGAATTAGGTCAAAGTGGATTCTTTGTGGAAGAGTTACTAGCAAGAGTTTAAGGCACATTCAAAGGAGCTGTCATGTAACCAGAAGAGACCAGGAGTCTGTTTGAAAAGCAGTGCTTGTACTCCAGTGGCCCTGACCCACAAGACTAGCACATTTTTTGGTCTTTAGATAATCTCCCTCAGTTTTTTGCAAATGATGGCATCAAATCTATTTTTTCCCTTAGTAGAAAACTGAATTATCTGGTTTTGTAAATACTGAAGACTTAAAAATATTAAGCCAATGAATTTCTGGGCACCATGCTCTTATGGGTACTTTCATGTCTGTCCTTATCAGTGATAGCTGTTTGCCTTGCATCCTGTGAATGAGGTGTATTAGCACCTGGGCAGGGTTTTGCTTCTCACATCACCACTAGTAATAAAAGTGTAGTTAATGATAGCAATCTTATGCTCTTTCCAAAGTTGATCTCACACCTTTCTCAGATAGCCACCTTCTTATTCAGCATACTGTGACCAGGAGCTACCCAAAAAAGGTGTGCATAGTTCCTACCTCCCAGAGCAGTGAATCAAGCTGTTACAACCCAGAGGGCCCAATATTTAAAGGTTCAAATTCATCTTCATTTAAATTTGCAAAGAGAAGTTTTGTTTCCAAATTGAAATGTTTGTACAGACTCATTTTGGTACTTGTAATTGAAGAAGCTGGTGTGCAGCATGTCCTGATGCACAGAGCCTGCTGACTCTGTCTTCTGAAGAAGGCACAGTCTGTGTAAGACAGTAACAAAGATGAATTTTGATTAGTAATACTTTTCAAGTAGCCTGGTTTCTCCCCACCTGATAGAAGTTGCTGCATCTCTCCAAACAGGTTCTCTAATGATCTTGCTTCACCATGGCTACAATTATGGAGGGGCTGGTGCAGCACACAGTGGGGACCCAGCAGGTGGCTGAGGTGAGTGACGGGCTAGCACAATAGCTGGCACCCTTGCTTTTGAAAGGAAAGAAACATCAGTGTGCCCTGTTGTTTCAAACAGTCCCAAGGAAGTCAGCATGTGGTCTAAATCCAAAGCAGGATACTGACATAGAAGAAGAAATAAAAATGACAAGAACATCGCTCATTTCATTTCTTTGCATGAATAGGATGGCTACATACAATAAGGTGACTTAATTTTTACCTTGAGCCAAAAACTAATTGAATCTGATTCTTGTTGTGTGAGTACTGTGAACTGTAAGGCTCTGTCTTAGTTCTACACACTTGATCCTTTGTTAATCCTGTAGTAAAATAGAAGGCCAGATTAATCTGTGCACTCAGCAGTTGTCTTAAGTGCTGAGAAATATGGAGGCGAATGTGTCAGGGGGTCTTTCCTTTAGTAATCACAAGACCTGATTAAAGAGTGATTATACACGGGTTGAGAAATGCAGTTGCATATGAGGTAGATGATCCTGGAGGAGGGTCTTGAATGACAAGTAAGCATTTGTCACACAGACCCTGGTAAGTGGGGTGGGGAATTTTGTGGTAGATTCTGGGGAGAGCAGCCTGAGTCAGAACATATGTAATGGGGTGAGGCATTAAGTAGCTTAAATGTGCAGGCAACTTGAGGTACAGAGGCAGTCAGGGCCAGATCTTGAAAAGCACAGTTAATCTGCCATCACTAATAAACTGAATATTCAATTCATTCTGTACCAGGTCTTAATCCTCATAATAACCTTTGAGGTTGGCACTGTCACTGCCATTTTATAGATGAGAAAACCAAGACTCAAAAATGTAAGTTAATTGGCCAAGGGGACACTGTAGAAGAACTGAGATTCTCACCCAGGTCTTTCTGTCTTTTTCCAGAGTCCTTTCAGTTACCCATGGTCCTACTGGTACCACCTGAAGAGATTAGATTTGCATTTTTGAATCATATATATAAGGCAAAGAAAGTTAGTAAAGAATGGACATTCTAAGAGAGAATTCTTTTAAACAAAAAAGTAAATATAAGGGCCGGGTGAAACTAAATACAGAGGTCAGGCATGGTGATGGACATCTATAATCCCAGCTACCTGGGAGGCAGAAATCAGGAGACTCAATTCAAGGCCAGCCTGGGCAAAAGGTTAACAAGACCTCACTCAACAAGCAAGCCAGCGATGGTGTGGTGGTACATGCCTGTAATTCAAGCTGTGCAGAAGGCATAGGTAGGAGGATCAAAGTCTGAGGCCAGCTCAGGGCTAAAACAATATGCTGGTAAGTTCAGTTTGCTAGTGATTTGTTGAGGATTTTTAAAGCATCAGTGTTTGTAAAGTGATGTGAGTCTGAAAGTCTTCTCATGTCTTTGGTTTTGGGGTGGGGATGATGCTGGCCTTATAAAATGAGTTTAGACTTGTCAAAGTTGGATAGGGGTTGGTGGTATTTCCTCTTTAAATGATTGTTAGAATTCACCAACAAAGCCATTTGGTCTAACACTTCTGTTTGTTGGAAGGTTGTGATTCCTTATTCTGTCTCCTTAACAGGGATAGATCTATTCAGGATTTCTATTTCTTCATGGTTCCGTCTTGGTAGATTGTGTGTCTTTAAGAATTTGTCCGTTCTAGGTTATCTAGTTTGTTTGGTGTGCAGTTGTTCATACTGCTCAAAGGCCTTTTTATTTCTGTAAAATCTATTATACCCCCACTTTTATTTTTGCTGAGACATTTTCTTTTGACTTACTATGTGGACAAAGAAACAGTAGCATTTTAGTCCTCTGTACTGTTGCATCTCTTCCCTCCATTCTGCCAGTAAAATTATATCCGTCCTCTTTCCATAAATCAGTGTTCTGTGTTATGTAATTATGATACTATCACATACACTCCTGTTGTCTCAATATAGTTGTAAAGCTCTCTAAATACTGTTTTCCATTCCGGTACATATGAGGAAATTCCAGCTTCCTTTCCTTTCTGTACGAACATTCCTTCTGCAGTCTCTGACTTCCTACTCTCATTTATCCTTCCAGGTTGTGTTTTGGCTGTCTTTATTTACATACAGAAATCAAAAGGAAAATCATTTTCTTCAGAATTTCAAAGGCACAGTTTTATTGTTTTCCAGTTTTGAGTATTGCTTTCAAAAAGGTCAATGTCATTTTCTTTCTTGTTCCTTACTTATTTACTCATTTATTCATTTATTATTATTATTACTTTGGAGGTGGTCTTAACTCCTGGGCACAAGTGATCCTCCTGCCTTAGCTTCTCCAGATCCCCTCCCTCTGTGGTGCTTGGGGTAGAACCCAGGGCCTGAGCTATATCCCCATCCCAGCCCTTTTTTTTTTTTTTTTGAGACAGGATCTCACTATGGAGCTCAGACTGGCCTTGACCTAAGGATCCTTCTGCCTCTCCCTCCCAAGTGCTGTAATTACAGGCATGTTACCACCATTCCTGACTATAGAATTTTCATCTTCATCTTCCTAGGCCACCACTTCTCTCTTCCTTTCCCTCCCAACCCAGTTGTTAAGAGCTTTTCTTTACACCTTTGTTCTGAAATTCACAGTAATGTACCTTAGTGCATATATTTTTCACACATGATACTGGATGTTCAGAGGGTTCTTTCAGTTTGGTGACAAATGTCCTCCTGCTTAGAATATCGTTTTATATTAGTCTGATACTTTTTCCCCCTCACAGTTTCATTATAATCTTTTTCCAGAGCTCCTGATTAGGTGGGTGTCGGCTCCCTTGAACTAGTTCTTTCATTTCTGTTTCTAGCTTTATGGAGGTTTCTTGACTTACTGGTCTTTGGCCCTTAAGCAGGGCTTGCCCATTTTACCTAACTTCTCTAGGCCAGTTTCTCCACCCGTCAAATGGTCATGTGCTGTGCTTGTTTGGGAGGATGGTATTGAGAATGAAGTGGCTTAGTGCATGGAAAGCATGGCACTAGCATCGGGTCTCACTCGTGGCCAGTGTTAAACTCTCAGCTTTGCCCCACTGTCCTGTTGTTCTTGTTGCTTCTTCAGCTTCATCTTCATTTTTGAGATCTTATTTTTAATTTTAGGAACTCTGTCGTTTACAGTAAGCTTTTCATATTTCATGGGTGCAGTAGCATAGCTAGTTCACTAAGGATGCTACTCGTCGTCTTCACTTGCAGTTTTCTTCTGCTTCTTACACAGTTGCTATTCTATCTAAGTTCTTCCTCTCCCCCCCTCCTTTTTCAGTTCCTTTCTTTCATATGGGAACTTTCCTCAAAAGCTTTCCTAATGAACCTCATCGTCAGTTCATATTTAACTGGGAAGGGAGAGAATGGGAGGTGAAGATCGGGAGGATCACCATTCAGGTTAGCCAGAGCAAAGAGTTAGCAAGACCCCCATCTCAACAAACTAGATGGGAGTACGTATCCATAATCTCAGCTATGCAGAAAGCAGAGGTAAACAGAAATTTTAGATCCAGTTTGAAAAATAAAGCAAAAAAGGGGCTGGGAGCACGGCTCAAGTGATAGAGCGCCCGCTTAGCAAGCAAGAGGCTTTGAGTTGAAAAACCCCAATACTAAAAAAAAAAAAAGAATGAATGAATGAGTGATTTTAAACTGAAAACAAAAGCAAACCTTTATACAAATCATGAGCTAGTTTGATTGTACTGTGGAGTAATGGATATAAGTGATAGGGCTTGGATTGGTACTGAGGTCCTCAATTTCAGAATCTGTAAGGTTTATTTTCTGGAGTCATCCAGTTTTTCAAAGTATAGGGGTGGGCATGGTAGCTGGAGATTTACCTTTTAATATGTGCAACTGTCACTTAAACTGCCTCCTGGAAAATGGAGGAATGAAGGCTGCTCCATCTCTGTGGAGACATGTTTGTTCTCTGGATATGGAGACTCACTTACCCACAGACTACATTTCCCTTTTTCTGCCATGATGAGAGGTGATGGCAGTGAGTTGCCTGGCTGTGAACCCTGGTTTCAACCTGCTGCTCATCCCAGCTTTCTGTGGAACCAAGTTGTAACCTTGGGCCGGAGTCAGCTTGCTTCTCATTAGTATCCCCATGTAGTCATTCTGCAAAGTTAGCTGCCTGCTACCATCTGCTTTCAGTCTTTCAGGTTTGTCCCTTTGGATCTTCTGTCATCTCCTTGACTGCTCAGTTTGTACTTGTGAGTTCCTGTACTTGTTATTATTCACTTACTCATACTTACGGATGCTATCTGGTAAATGAATAGAGATAAGAAATGCATGTGACTATTTTCTATATTTAACTAAAAGTCAGGGAATATACTACTACCTGTACTTGTAAAGCAAATTGTAATTGTTCCTTGATGGACTACAAGGTGCTCCAGAAATACCTCTGCTCATTACTCATGGGTGTTTAAGGAGTGCCTCGTGTACTTTGGGCATTGTCTTAGTTTTCAGGATAAAGACATGAAAATTCTGTTCTGTTAGGAAACAGACAAAAAAAAAAAAAAAGTCAGAGAACCATAGTGCTCTCTTGGGAAAGCATGTCAGGGGTGGGTGCAGAGGCAGGAGCGTGCTGGGCAAGGACAAAGTGGGCATGCTTGGCACAAGAAGGAACATCACAGAGCTTGTGGGCAGGTGTGAAGGGACTGTGGTGGAAGATGAGGTCAGGGTGGGAGGCAGGGGCCAGATCAGCTTAGGATTTATGGGCCATGATCAAAAATTTGTGTTTTATTCTGTGTATGTTTGGGAGCCATTGGAGAGCTGTAAGAAGAAGAATGACCTGCCTTTAAGGGTTGAGTCAGGAGCCTACTGATAGGCAAACTGCTGTGCTCAATTCCTGCCCTGAAAGACCATGCTTTCTTCCTTGGTGGTAGGCAGATTGGGTATATTCCCTATTTTTAAATTTCAACACCCATAATCCCTGCAGTAAAATTTCCCTGGGTAACTGAATTCACACCATATGACCCCTGGCCTCCTTTGTACTGACTGAACCAAGCTGCATGCCTGAAGCGCTGAACTGATGGGATTCTTACTCTTAAGAATTGAAAACATACATTGCTACTATTACATGATGTAGGCATTTGGGAAAAACCTTGAGTTCTACACAATAAAAAATAGCAGAATTCATGGAAAAGCAGGGTTTGGAGTAGATCAGAGTAACAAGTGACAACAACCCTAATAATAATACTAGCACAGTTAAAAAAGATGGGTTAATCCTAATAATGAAACACTAAATATAGGATTTTGTCTTAAAAGCAAAAGTAGCCTTACAGAAGAGGATGTAAGGAGGGGTCAAAGATGCTAAGGATTTGGGAGAAATGTATAAAGTGCATGAAGCTGAGGAGAACTGTACAGTGGACATTTCCAGGACAGCTTATGGCCAGAGTGAGAGAAGAGGAAGGTCCTGGTATGCACTGAGGTTATAAGGTCATAGTCATATAGGATTAGGGCTTGCATTGATACCAGTCTGAATTGTTGAGGAACATAGAGTGGTGAAAGCTAGTTTTTAGAGAGAAGGAGAGAGTGACTAGACTCCTCAGAAGAATGCAAAAAGGAGTTTCTAGGACTATGTGTTTCCAGAAAAAGATGGAAAGAGATGTTATCTGACAACTCTCTAGTTCCCCTACATCTTGAAATTGGGTTCTGTGAGTATCCTACAACAAATCTCCCTTTTTGGTTGAGCTAGTCTGAGTGTCATCAGTCATTAACAAAAGAACCAAAACGCACATTCTGGTATTTTATATGTATCTGATAGATCACATTTCAGGTGCGTAACCTCAACTGTACTTCTTTTCCTATGAAATTGCATAATCTGTTGGGGTTCAAGCCCATGGCTCTTAAATATTAAAAATGTATATGGATTGGACTTAGTGAAGAAAGCACTTTGGAGAAACAAAGTCAGAAGCAGAAAGAGAGGGCTTGAATTAGCACCAGTGTTTTTTCTTTCTTTGCTTACTTGGGTATGAAGGGTCAGGTGATGCCCGCTCTTCAGTAACAGTGTGAGTAAGTGTTGTGCTGAGTTTCAAGGAACCTTTCTTTGCTTTCTTCAATGACTTTTACCACTTGTGTCTATATTTCTAAGTGATACAGTATTGTTTCTGGTTTGATTTTAAACTTAATTATGTATGTATTGTTTTCTCTGGCTTATATCTTTTGTTTATCATTGTCTTTTTGATATTTGTCCATTTTGATATGTAAAACTGTAGTTCATTTTCAGTAAGTGTAGTATTCATTGTGTTATGAATGTACTATTAGGTATTCATTCCACTGTGGGGGACAGATTGTTTATCCCTTTGTGGGGGGAGTAATAAGAGGGCATATTAGGAAGAGTGCTTCAAGCAGTGTCCTTGTAATTGTCTCCCAGTGTATGTGGTCAAAGGCTTCTTTGGGATATATACAGTTAATACAGGTTGAGCATCCCTCATCTGAAAATCTGAAGCACTCCAAAAGTCCAAAATTTTTTTACAAAGTCCAAAACTTTTTGAGTGTCAACATGATCCCACAAGTGGAAAATTCCACACTTGACCTCATATGACTTCATGTTCCTCAGTCAAACATGGACACACTAAAAATACTGTGTAGAATTACCTTCAGGCTGTGTGTATATGAAGCAATAAATGAATTTCATGTTTGTTCTTGGGTCTCATTCCCAAGATAGCTCATCATGTATATACAAATATTCCAAAAAAAAAAAAAAAAAGTCTGAATCATTTCTAGTCCCAAGCACTTCAGATAAGGAGTGGGGTTATTGGGTGGTGAGGGATGCTCATGTTCAACTTGAATAGATAATGCCAAACTGTTTCCAAACTAATTGCACCACTGTCCTTTCCCATCATCACCGGATGGTTAAGTCACTGATGCTCCTTGTCTTCAGGAGCATATGGTATGATTGGACTTTATAGTTTTGGGTCACCAAGCAGTTACGAAATTGTTGCTGATGGTTTTAATTTTTATGTCCCCATTTATTAATGACATTGAGCATGCTTTTATATTCTTTCAGACCATTTATACATCCTCAATTATGAAATTCTATTCTTACATCTATTTTGTTTTGATTTGGCCCTTACCATTAATTAGTAAGACTTCTTTACATGTTTGTGCTGTTTAGATACTGTGCAAATATCTTCTTCATTATCACTTTCCTCTTCATTCTCTTAAGATATTTTACTTTCTTCAGTCTTTTCCTTTGTTGTTTGCACTGTCCATATCTTATTTAAGAAATTCCTTGAGCTGGTGGAATGGCTCAAGTGGTAGATTACCTGCCTAGCAAGCACGACACCCTGAGTTCAAACCCCAGTACCACCAAAAAAAAAAAAAGAAAAGAAAAGGAAATTCTTCCCAACCTCATAGTCTTAATTCTTAAACTATCTCCTGAAAGTTATAATAAAGTTTTGCCTTTCAGATTTAGGCCC